TCTAAATTCTTACATCCAAGGCAATGTTAGAGACAGAAGAGTAGAGACCTTAAACAAGAGAAATCATTTGGCATCATCATCATCATCATTATTATTAGTATTATAGCATGATCAGAGAGGGACTTATCACGGACTTATTCTTCCCTTGCAAGAAATGGTCAAGCCACACAGCTTATCAGTGGTGGCATGCAGTGGTCAGACTAGGACTGGAGAGACTTGGGTTCAAATCCTCACGCAGCTGTGAAGATCGTCAGGCAACTATGGGCCAGCCACTGTCTAGATTACCCTATCTTGCAGGAGGTTACTGCGAGCATAAATGAAGGGAGAAGAGAACTGGGCATGCCCTCATGAGCGCTGTGGAGGAAGAGCAAGATTAAAAATTCCCAGCGCATTTTGCATTTTCCAGCCCAGGTGCAAAATCATTTCAGGAATATGCCCGGTTTCTTCCTCATGCAAGAAGGGAGAAATCTTATCATCGCATCCCTAAATCAGGAAATTTAGGGGGGAATTGGGGGGTGGGGAAAGAGGAGATAAGAGAGGAAATTTCCCAAGGAAAATGCAGCACTCAAGTGTTAACCTGAAACGGTTAATATCCCTCTGCCTTTCTCTGCTCCGAAATCCTCTGCAAATACAGGGGGGAAGAACACAGAAGTAGACACAAAGGTAGAAGAGATTGCGAGATATTTATCTAGAGAGCATAAGCACATTGATGCGCCTGGGATACCAGCTTGACGCAGTTAAGCTAAATTCTCCCCCGGCTCCTAACTCAGGCACTGAAACAGTCAAGCAGAGGAAGCCAGCAGACTCATCAAGCCTGCACAGCAAAGAAGACCAAAAGAAGGAAGATAAAGACAGACTGTAAATCAAGGATTGAGGGACGAAAGCCTCCCCTTGGAAACAGACGAGATGTGAAGCAGAAGAACAGTGAGGTTTGATCTCTTTGTTGCCCAGTTGGGAGTTCAGGCAAGTAAACGAACCACTGCTCTAGCTCAGTGGCGCTAGACTAGAGCATGGGTAGGCAAACTAAGGCCCGGGGGCCGGATCCGGCCTGCGGACGGTCAGGGAATCAGCGTGTTTTTACATGAGTAAAATGTGTGTTTTTATTTAAAATGCATCTCTGGGTTATTTGTGGGGCATAGGAATTCGTTCTTTTTTCTTTTCCAAAATATAGTACAGCCCCCCCACAAGGTCTGAGGGACAGTGGACCGGCCCCCCTGCTGAAAAAGTTTGCTGACTCCTGTGCAAGAGCAACTGCCAGAGATCCTGGGTTCGATTCTCAACCCAGGATCCGGCCCCACCTAAGTTCATTCAAGTTCATCCAGGTAATATCGGGATTTGAAGGCTGAAAAAATAATGGTTTATAGAAGACAGAATGCTTGGATTTTAATGAATGAATATTATATGTAGCTGCAGGACAGAGAGCCAGCAAGTCCTTTATTCTTTCTATATTTCTTTAGTTTTTTTCTCGCCCTTTCTCCCGCTGTTCTCCATCTTTCTCAGGTCTCTCTTTTCTGACCTCTCTCTTTTTTAGACTAAGTAGCTGTTTTCTCTTTATTACAAAAAAATACTTTGTAATGGGCATGTATTTTTGTGAATAAGTATCAATAAATAAGTTTCGAAAAGATAATAAATAAAGACCTGCCTAAAACGCCTGCAGGAGCTGCTGTCAGCCAGTGCGGGCACTGGCGGCTTGATAGAGAGAGAGCCAGGGGTGGTGTTGCTGTGGTGAAAGTGCTGGACTAGGGCCCAGAAGACCTGGGTTCAAATCTCCACTCAGACGTCAAACTCACTAGGTGACCTCAGGGGCCGGTCACTCACTCTCAGCCTAACCCTACCCTCACCGTGTTGTCGTGAGGATAAAATGATCAGGGGGGAAAGTGCTTAGTTCCAACCCCAGAATGAAATTTACTAAACAAATAAATGAGATAAGACGGTTTCTGGCGCAACTAGGTAATAAAACCCACCGGAAATGGACACCCCGGCCTAGATTTGGCTTTTTGGAATACGGCGAAAAGAAAGGAAGACCGCAGGATCTTGAATGAATGAATGAATACTGCAGGATTCACTTATACCAAATGAACAGTAAAGAGGTATTGCCACTTAAGGCGATCAAATGCCTTGACAGCATCTAAAGCTAGAACGGTCATTGGTTCTGAACGAAGTTGGACCCAATAAAGAATATTGAGAAGTCACCCGATAAGGAGCGCAACAGACTTCTGTCTTATAAAACCAACTTGGCCTTTATCGAGGTCGTTTGGCGCAATTATTGATACCTATAAGCTAGCAGGCCTGGGAATAATTCAGCATTTATTAAAGAGATGGGCCTGTATGACCTCTGCTTGTTCCCAAGTCTTACGGGTGGTATTTGCAAGTGAGCATGCAAATATTTATGCCACAAGGTGGGCAAGAACCCCAGGCATAACCGCTGGGAGATCCATGATCCCCAGATGATCTAATTATTATTATATATTTATTTATATCCCCACCCTGACAGGAAGTCAAGGCAGTTTGCAGATAAAATTGAGAACAGCATTTTCCTCTCCCCGGCCCTTAAGTCGGGGGAAGCGAACACTTGGCCCTCCCGGTGTTGTTGGACTACAACTCCCATCAGCCTCTGCCAGCACGGCTAGTGATCAGGGCTGGTGATGGGAGAGGCCCAACATCTGGAGGGGTGTGGAGTCCCCATCCCTGCAATCAGAAGCAATTGTTACTTCTTATTTATTTGGGGGTTTTAAAAATCCACTTAAATGTAACAAAAATCCAATGGTTTTACTAATAATAATAATAATGAAACATTCTGTAAAATTTCCTTTAAATGGAAGCACAACTCATGTGTCACATACAAAGCTGAGCGGTGTGCAAAATTAAAAGTCGAAATTCCAGGAAAGCTAGGGTAGCAGAGTACAGTTTCTTCACACTTCCTGCGTATTTAGCACTGAAACCAGGGCTACACAGTTCAAAATGTGAACTTCCAAGATACAATGGATGTCTTACTTAAAGAGTCGAAGGAGGAATTAGGATGTTGGGAGGGAGAGAGAGAAAGTCATTTAAATAGGAGGAAAGATTCCGCTTTTTAAAACCCACAAGACACACACACACACACACGCACAAAGGGCTTTTCAGCAGACTTACTGCAAAAAGAACCTTAATTCTTTTTGGAAGTTTGGCTTCCCAGAACTGCAACGAACTATCCTTGCAAGAGTTTTATTGCTTCCATCCTTGTATAAGGAAGATGTTAAAGGGTTTGTGTGTGTTACTGCAGGTGCCAAGGGGAGGGGAGGAACCCCACAGCATCTCAAAGGGGGGAGGGAGAGAGCAAATCCAACCCCCAGTTTCTCCCTGGACCAAAATCAGAGGGCAGGACAAATGGTGGTGAAAAGGCAGTTAAGCATCATTTAGGTCTGCAAAGGAAAAAAAAGGGAGGAGGGAGGGGAAGAGGAGAGAGAGGCAGAAATAAGATTTTGTTTTTAATCCTCTCTCATCCCAGACCAATCTTTAGAGACTAGGAGAGAAGGGATGGTGGGGTGGGGTGGGAGGGAGGGGATATTTTGCATGAAATGCAACCCAGCAGTGCGGCGAACAACTGCTGCCAAGTCTACAAAACACACACACACACACACACACACACACCATTCTCTCCTATACGAACTCAACATCACACTCCTGGAGCTCTGCTGAAGCAAGGGTGGTGGTATTTGCAACATGAAGTAAATAAATGGCATTTAAAAGGAACAAGAAGCAGATCCATTCTTTGGCCAACTCCTCCCATTCGAAGGAGGAGGAGGAGGAGGAGGAGGAGGAAGAGGCACCCTAATCTTTGCGGGGGGGGGGTGAGCGTGGGAGGAAAGGAAATCTGTGCTCACACAGGAACACACACAAAACAATTGCAAGGTGCCATCCGGAGTCTTTGTTGGGTGTTCCCGAATTGCGCCAAAGGGGAGACCCCTCTGGCAATTCCTTCCACACCAAGGAGAGCAAAATTTCCTCCACAAAAGTGTCTCATCCATTCTTTCTTCTTTGACCTGACTCTTCTTTTCACCTAACACGCACCCAAAAAAACCCCCAACCACTGATATCCATCCTGGTCCTTACTTTTGGGAACTGTTTGCACTTCAAAGGGAGAAGCTCCATTGTCTTACAAGAGCACCTTATCCAGATGCAAATGAGATTATTTGGGGGGGGGTGGAGGCATAGGGGGGGCAGCTGTTTCCATTCAAACATTTCTCTCTCTCTCTTTCCTCTCCCAGAGAGGGAAGGTGCAAACCCACACACACCACTCTTAAGTTAGCTAGCAACCAGCCTGCCCCAAACACTGCCTTTCAAAAAGCGGGGTAGCTAAACCGGGCACCCACACCCCATTTTCAAAGGATGGCTTGTTGGGCTGGCCCCTCACCCCAATAGTGCTACTTCCCCAGGGGGAAATCTCTCTCCCCTCCCCCCAAAAGTGGGTCACAAATACACAGCCCCTCTTCCAAAAGACGACCCAAACTGATGTGCACCACCAAAGACACACTCGGGGTTATTGTTGTTTGGGGGGGTGTTTCCCAAACACCAAGCTGTGACCAACAAAAGTGGGTCACAAATACACAGCCCCGCTTCCAAAAGACGCCCCAAACTGATGTGCACCACCAAAGACTCTGGGGGTTTGTTTTTTTGAGAGGGGGGGTGTTTCCCAAACACCAAGCTGTGACCAACAGAACTGACCTCCACCCAAAGAAATAAATCATAAAACACCCCCCAGTTCTTCCTCTCGCTGCTTCCAAGAGGCAGGGAGGACCCCGACCCAGGGGGGGGAAATAAAGAGACTGAAGTCATTTGAGCCCAGGGAGATGAGGACCACCACCCCATTTCAGCAGAGGGCCGAGACCGCTTGCAAAAGTTGCGGGGCGAGCGAGGCGGACCCCAGCCCCATTTCGGGGAAAGGGAGGGGGGAGCCCTGGCCAGGCACCCCTGGCTGTCGGTCGTGGATGGGGGGGTGGGGGGGTCTTTCGGGTCTCTACCTTGTTGAAGGCGAAGAGGTCCTGCTTGATCTTCTCCCGCTGGGGGTCGTGGCCCTGGCGGCGGAAGCGAAACTTCATCATCTTGCCCGGGGGGGCGGCGGCGGGGGGGCTCTGGGCCGAGGGGGGAACAATGCCGCGCGGGCGGCGCTTCCCCCATGCAGCAGAGGCGGCGGCGGCAGCAGCAGCGGCGGCAGCGGCGCCCTCCGCATCCAGCAGGAGCGAGCGCGGCAGATGCGCCCAGGTTGCAACAGCGCAGAGAGGGCTGGTCCGCCGGGGAGGGCGCGAGGGAGGCAGGCAGGGGAGGGGGCGCCCGAGCGACGCCCGCCGCAGCCAATCAGAGGAGACCCCGCGGGCAGCTCGGCTGGACAATGGGCTTGGAGGGAGAGAGAGAGAGATAGAGACCCAGAGGAAAGCAGACGAAGGAAGGCCGGGCGGCTGCTCGCCAGCTGCTCTGAACCCCTCCCGCGCCGCCTCTCTGCGCCTGCGCAGCGGGACCGAAGCCTGCTGGGAAATGTAGTTTTTTTATATAAAAAAGTTGGGAGGGTTTTTTGGGTGTGTGTGTATGGCTTGTTTGCAGATCAAGTTGCGTACAGACGCGCCCCAACATTTATCCAGTGAAAATAGGGATGTCCTGTGATGATAATAAAATGATAATAAAAATAAAAATCTGTGCTTCTAGAAAAAGAGGGGTGCCGGGACTCACCATGAAATGGTTACAGTAAATGCCACATTTATAACCGGTGCTTTTCTTCTAGGAAAAAGGTGCCGGTACTGCGTGCCCCTGAGTACCCCCAGTACCAAAGCACTGATAAGAATAACAATATTTCTACCCCTCTCATCTGACTGGGTGGCCCCAGCTGCTCTGGGAAGCTTCCAATATATACATAAATATAATAAAGCATTAAACATTTAAAACTTCCCTAAAGAGGGCCGCCTTCAGATGTTTTCTGAAGGTAGTATAATTAATTATTTCCTTGGCTCAGTGGTCGCATAACTCCATACCCTCCAACATTTCTGCAGTGAAAATAAAGGTAAAGGTACCCCTGCCCGTACGGGCCAGTCATGTCCGACTCTAGGGTTGCGCGCTCATCTCGCTCAAGAGGCCGGGAGCCGGCACCGTCCGAAGACACTTCCGGGTCACGTGGCCAGCGTGACTAAGCTGCATCTGGCGAGCCAGCACCAGCGCAGCACACGGAAACGCCGTTTACCTTCCCACTATAAAGCGGTACCTATTTATCTACTTGCACTTAAGGGTGCTTTCGAACTGCTAGGTGGGCAGGAGCTGAGACCGAAGGACGGGAGCTCACCCCGACGCGGGGATTCGAACCGCCGACCTTACGATCAGCAAGTCCTAGGCACTGAGGTTTTACCCACAGTGAAAATAGGGACGTCTTATTCAATAATAATGATAATACTTTTATTATTTATACCCTGCCCATCTTGCTGGGTTGGCCCAACCATTCTAGGCAGCTTCAAACATATATAAAAACGTAATAAAACATTTAAAAAAACCTTCCCTATACAGGGCTGTCTTCAAATGTCTTCTGAAGGTTGTATAGTTTCCTATCTCCTTGGCTCAGGGGCTGCATAACTCCATACCCTCCAACATTTCTCCAGTGAAAATAGGGGCGTCCTAAGGAAAAGCGGGTCATTCCAGGACCAAATCAGAAACCGGGATGGCTTCTGCAATCCGGGAACTGTCCCTGGAAAACAGGGACACTTGGACGTTCTACTATTAATACTAAGACAACTACATCCATACCATAAATTCAAAGCACAATTATGCCACTTGAAATACGGTTCTTCCAGAACCGTAGTTTGTTACGGGTGCTGGGAATTGTAAATGAAACTGCTCCAGTGGCCAGGTTAGCCCTGAGGGCCACCAGTTGCCCACCTCTTTGCAATGGGCTTATCGCCTTGTATCCTCTGCCGAAGGCTCACTTTTATTCAGCAGCAAATACAGTGGTACCTCGGGTTAAGTACTTAATTCATTCCGGAGGTCCGTACTTAACCTGAAACTGTTCTTAACCTGAAGCACCACTTTAGATAGTGGGGCCTCCTGCTGCTGCCGCAGCGCCGCCGGAACACAATTTTTGTTCTCATCCTGAAGCAAAGTTCTTAACCTGAAGCACTATTTCTGGGTTAGCGGAATCTGTAACCTGAAGCGTATGTAACCTGGAAGCATATGTAACCTGAGGTACCACTGTATTATGGCATCTGCATGCTGAACCCGTAACATAAAGTGTTCTCCAGGCAGCCTGCAATAAAGTCCGTCTGAAATAGCTCCCGCTGGAAGTTTGGGCCTTCAGGATGTAGCAGCCAATCCGGCACTTTGGCAGTGAGCAATGGTTGAATCAGGTTCTTCGTGTCTGCCGCATAATCCTGCATTGCTTTCATAAACAAGATTCGTCAGATAAAGCCAGCTGGGAGTCGAAGGAGCAGGTTCCAGATCTCTGGAGTGTGGGGTTGTTTTGCTACTGGGCAGGGCAGAGGAAGGGCTGTGGCTCAGCGTCAGAACACATGCTTGCGTATACAGGAGGTTCCAGGTTCAAGTCCTGCCATCTCCAGCCCGGCCTGTGAGAGCCTCTGTCTAAAGCAGGGGTTGGCAAACTAAGGCCTGGGGGCCAGATGCAGCCCCCCAGGCTCGTAAATCCAGCCCGCGGACCCTGCTGCCAGCTCGGTTAGTCCCCGCGTGGCGCATGCTGCCTGGGAGCTCTGCGAGGACAGGCCAATGGAGCGGCTGCTGCTCGTCAACAACGCAGGTGAGCGAGCGGCGCCAAGACACACTCCTGAGTGCGTGCAGAGTGCGTTCCTCCTCCAGGACCACAGTCAGCTGCAGAACCGGCTTGCAGGGTACAGTGGTACCTCGGGTTAAGAACTTAATTCGTTCCGGAGGTCCGTTCTTAACCTGAAACTGTTCTTAACCTGAAGCACCACTTTAGCTAATGGGGCCTCCTGCTGCCACTGCACAATTTCTGTTCTCATACTGAAGCAAAGTTCTTAACCCGAGGTAATATTTCTGGGTTAGCAGAGTCTGTAACCCTAAGTGTATGTAACCTGAAGCGTATGTAACCCGAGGTACCACTGTATTTATGTTTTTCAGAATATAGTCCGGCCCACCACAAGGTCTGAGAGACAGTGGACCGACCCCCTGATGAAAAAGTTTGCTGACCCCTGGTCTAAAACCTTGCAGAGACGCAGTCGGTCAGTATATACCAAGGGTGGAGTCCAAATATGGCCCTAGGGTCCTCTCTATCTGGCCCCCAGAAGGCTCTCCAAGCCAGCCTGTTCCCCTCCCCTCCTTGAGTGCTTTGGGCTGTCCGCACACTATGTATTTAAAGCACTTATGTTCCCCCAAAGGATTCTGGGCACTGTAGTTTGTGAAAGGTTGCTGGGAACTGGAACTCTGCGAGGGGTAAAGCTGCAGCGCTCAGAATTATTTGGCAGAAAGGATGTGCTTTGGACGCATTTTAAAGGTTCGGCATGTGCACAGGAATGGAATGTGCCTTTGAAATCGAATGGTGCCTCTTGCTAGGTGTGGGCACCTGTAGAAAAGCCCTGGCTTTCATGTGGCTTGAATCTTGCCTATTGTACAAAGATGAGCGTCACAACTCCGGCCCAGCCCCATTTCGCCTCTGGTGCACACAATACGGAGCCAATAGTCTGGCTCTGCATAGGGCAGGGTTTCCTCCCCCCCCCCAAAAAAAGGACAGTCATTCTTGCCTTTGAGCCAATCCCAATGAATACAGTCAGACTGATTTCCAAGTAAACATGCGACATGTTTGCACAGTCCTTTGCTCTTGGATAAAATACCCAGGAGTTTGTCTTTTAAAAGCCTAGTTCAGGGGTTAAACAAGATTGGCACCTTGAAACAGGACACATCTTAGGGGAAATCCCGCCACAGGGCGCCAAGAAGTCCCGCTGGGTTAAATGGGGCTTCTTTTCAAACAAGTGTGCAAATGGTTACAAGCCTTTTGCTTGGGGTAGGACGGTCCAGTCTTATTCATTGCATCTATATTCCACCTTTTCCTGCAAGGAGCTTCAGGTGGCCAACATGGTTCTCTCTCTTCCTCATTTAATCCCCCACAACAACCCTGCGAGGTAGGTTAGGCTGAGAGGCTGGCGCCCAGTGAGCTCCGTGGCCGAGTGGAGATTTGAACCCTGGTCTCAAAGGTCCTAGTCAGACACTTTCACCATTACACCACAGAAGACTGTCCTTTGTTTGATGGGCTGGGTGGTCCAAGTCTGAAAGATAAAGGTGGGGCTTGAAGTTGCTCATCAACACAGACTGAGGAAGCACACAGCTTCACCGCTTTGCTGAGATATACAGTATCATTCGATTTCAGGTAGGCAACCACAGCAGCACAGAGACAGGCGCAGCCCGGCTCCAGCACTGCAAAGCTGGAGACAGTGCATACATAACCTGTTGAACTTCTGCCTGCTACAGGCCACCAGCGTAGGGGAAGGAGCCTTACCAGGAAAACAAATCTTGGCAGCCGTTTGTAGCACTTAGCTGATTTAGCTGGCAAGCCAGACCTCCTTGAAAGCAAGGCGACTCTTTGAATGTGTGCATTTAAAGGATCAGGGCCGCAGGTGGGGAACTGGTTCAGGCAGGGAGACTCCTTGGATTAATTGCCAAAATGCCTTGGCACCGGCTGCCGTTTTGCAAAATCCGTAGGCGTTTTGTTTATTTACCACGCGGCCTGCCTCTGCAAACTCTGATCCCTGTTTCTGACGCCGATCACAGGTTTGCCGCTCTGCCAAAACCTCTGCGACTGGTAAGGGAGAGCTTCTTGTTGTCTCCCTTTTCAGCTTTTCCAGGCTCCAAACCTCCTGAGCGATCAGAAATGGGCAAACTAGAGGCAACAGGCGCTGCCATCTTTCCAACCAGCCGACAAAAGCTTGGCTGCAGGAGAGCAGGAGGTGATTGTATCCATCTTGGTGCTGTGGAAAAGATTCCCCTTGTTGATTTTCAGCAAATCAAGAGCATGCCAGGCCGCCTTTCCTGGTTAGGTGACATCTACAGAAACAACAGCCTGGCGCTCAGTAATGCCACCTGAATGGCTCATGTACCTTTAATTGGAGGTGTAGCTCCCACTTAGGTTATCTTCACACCTGGAAAAGCTTCACCTGTTTAATTTATGTGATTAAAGGCAGAACAGCTGAGCCCTTAGCTTCTCACACAAACCTACAGTTCCCAGGATTCTCTGGAGAGGAAAAGGAATGGCTACAAAACCAATTACTGGGGGGACGGGACACTGGTGCGACAGATTAGAGAACTGGGCCAAAACAAACAAGATGAACTTTAACAGGGAGAAATGTAAAGTATTGCATTTGGGCAAAAAAAATGAGAGGCACAAATACAAGATGGGGGACACCTGGCTTGAGAGCAGTACATGTGAAAAGGATCTAGGA